TGGAGAGATCCCAAACCCTCCTGGCTGTGACCCTGGGCACCCTGCTGGGGGGGAACTGCTGGAGCAGGGGGTTGGGTGAGATGATCTCCAGAGGTCCCTTCCAGCCCCCCCATGCTGTGACCATTCTGTGATGTGCCCCAGGGTGCCCATCTCCACCACATCCCAAGCTGCAGGTGAGCTCACCTCGATGCCAAAATACCGGTGCCCCTTGCCCAGCACGGCGTCCACATACTCCAGGACCAGCTCCACGGCCTCCTCCAGCAGGTCGTAGTTCAGGTAGAGGCGCAGCAGCTCGGCAGCATCCACTTTCTGCAGGCAAAGAGGGAAACATCAGCCTGGGAACACACCCACGACGCCCAGAGGAACCTCCCCTGAGCCCCAGTGCCAGGCACAAAACATTTGCCAACGGTTGCAGGAGCTGGGAACGGGGAGGGTGTGAGGGGGAGGTGCCTGCTGAAGGGAAGGAGGTGGCACCTCGGGGGTGTTTCAGGCAGCACACGCTGAGCTGTGACCCCCTTCTCACCTTGTAGCTGTTAATGAGCCAGTTGGGCAGAGGGATCCCGTGTGCCAGGAGCTTGTTGATGACGCAGCGATGGTGCAGGCTGTTCTGGGATGGGTACTGCTCCAGGTAGGCTGAGAGCAGCCGCCAGGCCTCGTCTGTGGCACTGCAAGGCAAGAGATCCCCTCGGAGCCTGTGCCAGCAGCTCCTGCCTGACAGGAGCTGGAGGGGCTGGAGCGTGGGCAGAGAAGGGCAACGGAGCTGCTGGGGAAGGGTCTAGAGCCCAAGTGTGGGGAGGAGCAGCTGAGGGAGCTGGGGGTGCTGAGCCTGGAGCAAAGGAGGCTCAGGGGAGACCTTCTGGCTCTGCACAGCTCCTGACAGGAGCCTGGAGGGAGGGAAAAGGGCCTCAAGTTGCCCCAGGGGAGGTTTCAGTTGTCCCTGAGGAACAATTTCTTGCCCTGGAGGGTTGCCCAGGGCTGTGCCAGGCTGCCCAGGGCAGTGGTGGAGTCCCCACCCCTGGAGGGGTTTCCAAGCCGTGGAGATGTGGGGTGAGGGACACGGGGCAGTGGGGACCTGACAGTGCTGGGGGAGTGGTTGGACTTGATGGTCTCAGAGGCTTTTTCCAACCTAAACAGTGATTCTCTGATACAAAGTGGGGTTTGCTGTGCACAGTTGGCTGGGCAGTCTGTGGTGACAGCTCTCTCACTGTCCCAGCCCCACAGATCTGCTCTAAGGAGGTTTTAGGAGCCTTTGAGCTCCTGAATTCCTACGAGGGAATGAGCCACTCTCAGGAGGAACAGCTCCACTCTTCTTCCCCCCCAAGAAGGGCCCACCTGCACTCCTTGGTGGTCACCAGTGAGGAGAGCTGGTTTGCTGCCAGCCAGTCCCAGGCCTCAGCCTGCGCCGCCTCCCCACCGAGCTGCAGCTGGATGCACCTGCAGGACACAGCCAAGGTGCTGGCCTCAGAGCCCAGACCTTGCCCTGCCCACCTCCCAGCCCACCCCCCACAGCACCTTCCCCAAGAAACACTCAAGAATTAGCTGGCTTGGCAGGAAAATAAGGCCACTGGGGTGATTCCTGAGCTGCTCTAAGTGCTGGAGTGTAATTGATGTTAGCAAGCTTCAGGGCCTGAGCTGGGGTAGGAGATGCCCTCTGTGCACCCAGCCACAGGAACAGGTCAGAGCAGAGCTCCTGAGTAACTGTGCATCTTCTGGAAGTGCAGAGAGGCAGGGAAAAGGGAATCTGGGGTGGAGATGAGGCAGGAGAGCAAACAAATGGGACAGAAGAGCGAGCAAACACTCTCAGAGCTGTGCAAATCTTCTGTAAGCAGCTCACTGGGTATCAGCAGGAGTGTGCCAGGAGCCAGCTCACCAGAAAGGGCTCCAGATGTTGGCTGTGCCCAAGTCAGGGGTCACCAATGTGCCACCATG